TCTACCTGCTGTTTTGCCCTGTCCTTTTCATCCCCCCACCCCTCCTCCCCACCCCCCGCAAGGTTTACATGGGCCTATTCGCTAATCTGTGTCATATAGGTTCAAACTTTGTCTCTTATATCTCTTAAGGCAGAGTGGGAATCTTTTTTAGGACCAAGGTCTGCTTTGCTAAGCTGGGCTAATGTGAGTTTAATTGGATCACAAACATTGTTAGCACTTATTATTCAAGGCTGTCCCTGAGAAGAGGACCCTGACACATCCCAAGTTCCCACTGAGAACAAACAACAAAGAGAACAAGTCCCTGCCATGGCTTCACCACTGAGCCCAAAAAACCCACATCTGATAAGCTATATAATTTGCTATAGCAATTTGTGCCAAAAATAAAGGCACACTTTTGCAGAGTCGCACATTGCTAAGAAAAAACTGAATTCCGCCTCATGCTAATCCAACTCTTTTTCTTTCTTTATCGAACTTGATGCTCATGGATAGAACACACCAGGTTGCATCTTAGGTCCCATACCATTGATGTCTTTTGGCTAAATGGCTGTGTCCATCCTTCCATAGTCACCCCAAGCCACTCTTGCTGTCACACTGAAACCCGAAAGGGTGAGCAAAGACAACAGCAGTGGTCTGTTTTACAACACCCCAGGAACATGATGTTTTTAACAGCAGAGCAGATTCTTGGCCGATGGCCCTGGTTAAAGGAAGAGAGGCACAGAATCTTCGAAGTCATCAATTTTAATGAGCACTGCAGCCATTCCAGTAAACTAGATCCCTTTGTTTTTGTTTGCCTGACAAAGAAACCTGATCCATCCAAGACATTTATTCCCTTTTAGTTCAGCACCAGGACAGGAACTCGCTTTTTCGCCACTAGTATTAGGCACCCATTGGTGATCCAAATTCTTCGGCAGTCTTTTGGAGGAGAAGAATAAAAGAGGCTACAAGGAAAAAACAAAACAAAACAAAAAAACAACAACCACAGTAATACATACAAACTTCTGAAAAATTCGGGCTCTTTTTGGCTCAGAGGTTAAACATGAATTGTTAGAGTTCCCTTTCAAAGTTGGAGTCTGCCAAGGTATCACATAGACTTGGATAGCTTTGTGGATGTTATAACAGGAATAAGGAATTTCACCTGTATTTTCAAAGGCAGGGAATACTTGGTGGTGGTGGTGGTGGTGGTGGTGGTGGTGGTGGTGTGTGTGTGTGTGTGTGTGTGTGAGAGAGAGAGAGAGAGAGAGAGAGAGAGAGAGAGAGAGAGAGAGAGAGAGAGAAAAGAAGATGAGAGTTTAACTAATTTATTTATAACTTAATGACATTTGAAGGAATATTTCTGCATTTTCTGGGACAGTCACACTAATTTCCAAGGTTCATGCTGAGATAAGCAGACAGGTAAATTGCTCAAGAGAAGATGTTTGTGTATCAGAGAACACAACCCAGTCTTTGCTTCTAATCTTTTTTTCATCTTTGTGCAAACTCACTGAACTCTTTCTCCAGATCTGAGGGCAACAGGCAGGCATTTGTTTTTAACTCCTCAAATAAACTAAAGTGGAAAGTTCTTGTACAATTTGCTAAATTATCCTCCTCATTAGTACAGGATTCCTAGGAAGGGCAAGCTGCCCTTCTTATGAATTTTTCTATCAAAAGAAATTCCTTCTCTTTCTTCTTTTTTTCCCCTGTTAATTTATTTTTTAATAGAAGGGGGGAGAAAAAGCCAACCCAGAAAAAAATTACACAAATGGCAAGGTAGTGACAGGGCATCTATCAAAGTGGCTCTGGAAATTCCAATTTTTAAAGTGCTATAAAAATATCATTATTAATGATGATTGACTGGCTTTTCAGAGCCAAGATATTTCAATGCTGCTAAGTTAGAGTTGAGTGCAAAAGAGGGGGTGCTAAAATGGCTTCAGGGTTCCCTCACTTTGTTTCTTCATTGATTTTTAAGTAACATATGAGCACAGTCAAATTGATGATTTTCATTTTGAATTAGTTTGGCCTCTGTCATGAAGAGCCTTCCATCTTTTTCCGACTGTCAATGTCGAATTCATCTTCATCAAGTCCCCAGCAGGAAGATTCGGATGTTATTACTTTTTGTTTTACAGTTTTATCGTTTACAGGAAATTGGGGCACAAAAAAATAGAGCGGAATCTACCCATGTTTTCAATAGAATTACTCAATGGAAGAAGATACACTTTCATTGTGGGCCTAGCAGAAACTCCTGGATTGTGGCAGTCCTAGGAGGTAGGAGAGAGAGGCAGGACTATAATCCAATTTTTTAATTGTCTTTTTGATGTTGGTGGTGATGGTTTCTTGTTTGTTTGTTTGTTTGTTTGTTTAGATTCCCGAAAAAGCTTAGCTCACAGTCTGTGTAAATCTGATAACTTGTACCTATGGTCTGTATAAACCTTGCTGTCCTTTCCATTTTACAGATGGGAAAGCTAAGGTTAAAGACAACCATGCACCAGATTGACAAAAACTGGTCAACTATTTCCCTGAAAGTTCTGTGCTTTGCACTGTTTTCAGTCCTTGCCAAGACTGGGAAAAATGACAAGTATGGTTTTTTAAAGCACATTTCTCAAATGTGCTTGAAAAAGATCAAAAAAATATTGTCCTGTTTAGGTAAGGCTCAATCAAGGCCCAAGTTAGAGGACTTCTTTAAAGGACATGGAAAAAAACATGAACACCAACAAACCCAGTCATTTACTGAGCAAAATGGTCCCCTGCAGCCCCTTGATTCTCACCCTCTGCTTTCCACAGCTGGCATGGCCACGTTCCCTCTGAACACTCACTCCGTCTCCAGCCCTCTGGGAGGACCAGTGTGTCCTCTGACAGTGTGCCAGAAGTGGAAAAAGGAAGAGTTTAAAAACTGTCAACCAGGAAAATTTTTGTTTGTTTGTTTTAAAAAAAGAGAATTTGCTAACCTAGCCAAGAAATTTGGTCGAAGTTACAGACTGTCAGTCTTTATAATCACTCTTTGTTCCTTTTCTTTTCTGAATCCCACGTTTTCACCGAGAGTAGATCATCTTTGGCATTATCCTCCCTGGCTCAGCTTAGCTTTCACTCCCATGGGGTCCTGCTGACTCTCTAAACTTTCAACTCCTAAATCCAGAGCTGGCTCCCCCAGGAAAGAAAAAAGCAAATTGAACAATAAAATTCAAGCTGTAGCTTCCGTTGTGACTCAAGAGCAGAAAATGTTTTCAGTGGCCAAGAGCACATAAGTGCCATTAATCACCAAGAATTTATTATTTCTCATTGGGGGCCCCAAACAAACACCATTTTGCCCAACTCCATTACCATCTGGGATTTGCAAAGCTTTTCTGATTGAATATTTATTTACCTAGGATTGAAGATTTCAGAAATTCTTTCATAGAAATTATATATGCCAACGAGGAGAAAGTAACACTTTCTCTTCCTTTCTTTTCTTTTTCATTCCTCCCTCGTGTTTCTCTTCCTTTCCTTAGCAACCCTTTTGCTGTGTCAGCCTTTCTATGCATGATCAGTTTGCTGTGAGCTATGGAAAACCCCCACCTCAGGAATCTGAAGCCTAGGGTTAAATCTTTTTATTTGTTGAGTCCAGGCTACAGATTTTTGTTTAGAGAAAGCCACCAATTTTTATTCTTTGAGCTGCATAGATAAATCAGAGCATTTCTGGGGAGGGATTTTTGCATATTGTTAGGAACACTTTTCTAGTATGTCCCTAAAACATTAACTATTTGCGTGTCCAACAAGTTGAGGAGATGCCTTTGCTTTCCCTTTTTCTTTTTTCCCTGATGTTTCTAGAGCAATAAATAAGTGGGTCAAAGAAGGGGTTATAAATTCATTTGTTGGGGATTCTTGGAATAAATTAGAATAATAGATTTGGGGAACCTAGGTAAATGTTTATCAAAACAAACCCACATTTCTAATATTATGTGGAAGAGAGCTGCATTTTCCTTCATGCACAGAGCTCAGATCAAAAGCTTGGGCTGAGCAATAGGGGATCCAAATTGATTCTCTGGTCTTGGGGGCATATAACTTCATGGAATAGCTGGACTATAGTTTAACTAGAATATTCAGAATGCGAGTAAAAATTAAAAATTATGATTCTTCTTTCTTTGGGTTGAGACGAACAGCTTTCATAGTGCAGAGCATTGTAATTTTATATGGTCCCTTCAAATAGAAAACTACAAAGAGAGGACAACTGCATTTGTTGAACGCCTATGGTATGCCAGGCTCCATATATATTTTCCCCATAACCCTGTGGAGTCAGGGGCAGGGCCATCATTATCCTATTTCAAAGAAGAAGAAACAGAGGCTCAGAGGGGTTAGGTGGCCTAACCTGTGTGAAACGTAACAGTAGCAGTGCTCAGGTTTATGTGACTCCAAACCCATATGCTTTTCTGTTATAATCTGTTGCCTCCAATATGTAGGAAGGCTAATTTGATATCTACCATAACGGCCTACCCTGACAGATGTATTTCACAGAGGATACTACCTCTTCTAATGATCTGTCAACCAGGGCTGGGAGACCATTGCCTTTAGCTAACCTGACTCTTCAGGAATCTTGAGGATGAACAAAGTGTCTTCTCCCAACTCTCTATATCGCCCACGAGAAATGGGCAGCTCAGAGAGGCCACTCCAGAATGTCAGCTAATATCAGAGTTTTCAGGGTGAGGAGAAGATGAAGTAACACAAGCACTGTTGTATTAGGTGTAGTCTAATAAGCCCACGTCAGCCTAGGGTTTTTCTGTGATCACCAGTTTGTGGCGCTCTCGTAGGCTATTGAGTAATACAACCTCAACAGACAAGATCAGAACAAGTTCTCGGCGGCATGGTAGTGATTCTGGCCCTACGTGCAATTGTAAAAGAAGTAGGTTTATTTTCTTTCATCTCTATTATGCAAATTCACCTTTCATCAGGCACCCTGGACCTTCATACTCGTTCCACTTTCCCTTGAACACAATCTGCTTTGATGAGCTATCACTTGGAAAGAATCTAATCAATTACATCACCACTTGCAGGAATGACTGCTGTGATGGAATTTCAGGAATCAGGGCAGGCCAGTGCAGATGACATTTCAGAGCAACCGAGGTTTCCTAACACCCTTCAATGTATAGGGCATTGGTGATCACCCATTCTTGGGTCATTCATGGGTAAGGCTAATCATGGAGGGAGATGGAAAAAGACTAATGTAGATGGTGAAAGGTGCTTGACCAGAGTGTGCTTCTGGAAAAAACAAGTGTTCTCTTGCTGGCATGTTGTCACCCTGTGATCTTCCAAGTCTCTCTATTATGAACTCTGTCCTTTGTATTGAGGTTGGGGCAGGGGGAGCATTTTCTTTCCTATAGCTGGGGGTTCTCAGCCTTTAGAGGAAGGCCAAGGTGGCTCTTTTAACCATTGTTAACTTGATCAAAATTTTTTTCTAGAAATGAAAGAGTAATTTTGAAAACCAACAGCTTAAGCACTACAGTGTAAAATGCAGCATGTTTTTTTTTTAAATTAGTCTGTTCATTGGCTGTAGTGCCAAGAGAACCTGATGAAGTTTTCCTAAAGCTGTTTCCATGTCTGTTTTTTAACCTTTTTGAATGGTAAAACTTGTACAGTTAATTTTGGAGTTGAGGAAGTTTTCCTGGAGTGTCAGTAACTTGCCTATTCCGTTACTTATTATAGATACTCACCTAGGGCAATGCCAGTTTATAACATAACCCATGGTATAAAAAAAAATAGTTTCTAGGAAGGAGGTTTCTTCCACAGCCATCTCAGAAGCACTGCTAGTTTATCTAAAGAGTCAGGATGCATATCCTGAAAACAAAGGACTGTTGCAATCTGTGGCAAGGGAGATAGATATGTGTCTTTTTTTCTTGAGGAATTAGCCAACAAAGTTTACTGTAATTATAACTTGCTTCTCTCCTAAAGGAGAAGGTGAAAGTGCTTGAGGAACAGCTCTGTAGATTCCACACTGCAAGAAGGATGTGTTGAACAACACAGAAAGTAACCAGATAAAAAACAAGAAGGAGAAGGGAACTCTGTGTCAACAAGTAGGTATAATGAATTAAGTAACTTTTTTCCATGTGAAGAAATTAGGCAAATTCATAATTACTGTTGTTTTAGTTGCATCTTCCTAGTAGAGCTTTGTTCTCTAAGATTGCCTACCATTACTCAGTTATGAACTACAGGAGGGCATGCATCTTCTTTATTTTTGTGTCACTACCATCAAACATGCTGCTGAGCACAGAACCACCTTTCAAAAAGTAATTATTAAGTAACTCAATTTATTTTTATATTATAGCATTTTTATTCTAAAACAATAACTCCCTGTGAAATTGGGTACTCTTATGAGTCATCTCAGAGAATTTTGGGGTAAGTGGAACCAACAGCCTGACCTAAGTAGGACTACATTAGTGACTAGTAAAGAGATGTCAACCTTGTTTACTGTAAATTGACTGAATCTGAAACATGAATATGGTGGAGCCAGAGGGGATGCCTTGAAGCAAGATTGAAGACTATCACAATAACAACATTCTAGAAAGACATGTTTCAGCTTGGCTATCTTCATGAGAGTGCAGCCTATGCATTTGCATAGACTCCTGTACTCCAAGGGTCATGCGTTTGGTTTGATGCTCTCCTGTTGAAGTCTTGAAATTTTTAATATCTTTTGAACAAGGCACCCACAATTTCATTTTGTACTGGGCCCTACAAATTAGGTAGCTGATCCTGGCTCCTAATATGATGATGGGACCTACATGGGCCAAGATCAGAGCAGCTGTACCCAGATAGTATCTGAGAACAGCAGGTGAAGCAAGAATTGGCTGTAAGTAGAACTCAACTTTTACCTGGCTGTTAAGTATGCTGCAAGCACTATAGAGGGCAGAAGTTTCAGAGCGGTGAATGATAGACTGCTGGTCATAAAGGACGGGCATCCTCATGGGGAAGAGTCTTCAGGGAGCAAATAAGGAAGTCTCCCTTCCCCCTCGAGTGATAGGAAAGACAAAAAGAACTTACTGAGTTGGAAGACTAGGATAGTCTCAGAAGAGTGAGGACCTACCTGCAAATTCAGAGGGAAATAGCCTGACATTCAGAGAAGACATCTTTAGGAATTCCTAATCTTTGTCCCCAAATAGGGCCACCTTTGGAAGGTCAGGCTGGTCACCCTGGGAAGCCCCACACAGGGAGAGAAGATATTAGAGTGTTAGTTGTAGAAGACACTTAAAAACCCATAAAACCTCACCTTGTTTTCTGAGTATTCTAAATGAAAGTCAGTAATTATATGCCAAGGAAAACATCTAGGATACCTCTTAGACCTCTTGATTTGGGGGGGTAATTTTTTTACATTTCTTGTTGTTATCTCCATCTAATTCTTCATATTGATTGATCACACTGACTTAAAATGGACAGGCCTGTGTGCTTATTGTGAGGTGTAACAAGAAAGGGAGGAGGTGGGAGAATAACTTTGTACTCTGTTGTCTACCTTAGGGAGAGCCTACCTCAGGGATGGCTCTGAGGCTATGTCCTAGCCTAAGTCATAGGACATAGAGTAGGAGAGGACAGTTTTTATGTTTGTTTTATAAGAGAAGATTAAATATATGTTGCCCATAAGAAGAAGATGTTTGGGACTGTAGCATGACTTCGGGGTTGTCACTGGGAGTAGTTTGGAGGACTGTGACACAGCTGAGGATGAGCCAGAATTAGTCCGCAAGGAAGCTTTATGAGGTTCTTCTCCTGGAGGGCAATTTCAGGCATATCCAAGAAGAGACATTATCTCAGGCTCCATAGATTCCCAGGCATTCAAATATGATGAAACTGTGTTATCTCAATCAAATAAAAACATTCATGTCATAATGACTTGATAATGTACTCTCTGATGGCTGGGAGGAGGTGGCCTTGTATGAACTTGGCATTGTCATGGATCTGTGTGCTGGCCTTCTTGGAGCAGGATTTTAGAGAGCCTGCCAAGATCACCAAACTCACCAATCCCCTTTACTTTGATGATTTATAAAGGAACAAATGCTGCAGTTATAAGAATTCCTCAAAACATCTTTTGGACTAGGTAGGAAAGTGAAAAAAATTTAGTGGTTGGGTGAAAATGTTTTCCCCTCTTCTTTCTGGTTGTAGTGATGACTCTGGAAGAGAAAGTGGATAATAGCTGATTACATAGAAGGCATCCAAAGGAAGAATTTGTCTTTGGGATCATGACAGGAATGTCAAGAAGATATACTATTGAAAATGAAAAAGGGCACTGGATCAAAGTGGAGAAGATATTTAACAAGGATAAATGGATGCAGCAGAGGGAGAAAAATTAAGACCAACTACCAAGTAGGTAGTACAAACAGTGGGTGTGACAGAGAAAGAATTTGTGTAGTGGATGTGGTCCCTAGTAATTATCATTCTTTCATTCATTCAACAAAACAGAAAAGCTCAAAGAATAATATTTATGACCTTAAGAAACTATATATGTCAATACAAAGTAGGGGGTGATAAAATAACTAGGTTTTAAGTTCAAAAAAATGTTATTTAGAACACTGAGAATTCATGGGATAAAGCACCCTAAAAATATCAAAACTTATCTAGGAGAAGGAAAATAGAATAGTATTATGTATAACTGAGGTATACATCCAGATATAAACCAAGCTAAAGCAAAGAAGACATATGAGAAATGAACCAACTCTACTACTATGAGAATACAGTTCAAACCACTTAGGAAGAGGAAAGATATGGATATTATATTTTTGGTGTTAAATTTTGGTGTGAAGTAGCCTTTTGCAGTAATGGAGAATTTTATTCTCTTTTGGAAAATTAATTTTGATAAAATTAAAGTATTTGATCAGCTCTTAACTTTTAACATTGATATTTTTAATCTCTAAAAAAGAGAGAGAATACAAGAGAAGTATATATCAATATGGAAATCCTAAGGGATAATAATGAGGCAGTAACCAAAATCTTGGAGTTCAGATTATTGTAAAGGTGACATATGTCCCCTTTGCCCTCTGTTCCTCAAAGTGAGGTTCTTGGTCAGGGTGGTTCCACAAATTGTTGTTGGTATGCAACAAGATGAAATAGGTATTTGGAAACTTTTATAGCAATTTTCATTATCACAACATTTAAAATTTTATTTTATAAAATTAAAACTGATCTCTTACTATAGATGTTTTGAGAAGCACTGTCCCAATTCATGATAAAATAGTATTCAAAAAGTGTACTATTGCCCTGACCAGTGTGGCTCAGTTGATTGGAGCATTGTTCATGCACCAAAAGGTGGCAGGCTCAATTCCTGATCATGGCACATACCTAGGTTGCAAGTTTGATTCCCGGTTGGGGTGTGTGGGGGAGGTAACCAATCAATGTGAATCTCTCTCTCTCTCTCTCTCTTTCTCTTCCTCTCTCTGAAATCAATCTATAAAGAAAAAAAAGTGTACAGCTCTTTGTCTTGAAAGGAATACAGTTTATTAGGAAAAGGAATCTAAAGAGAAAAGGAAAGAACAAGGATATTTGAGCATATATTTGGAAATTATTCCAATGGGCCAAATGAGGGAAGTCATGTAAAAAGTAGTGTGATTTTATTAGCAGCTCTCTTGATGAGAAAAAAAAAGGGTGAAGCCCATTTATTGAGTATCAGTTTTATATTGGACATTTTTATTTCAATTATCTTATTTGATCTGTACCCTTCAGATAAGTGATATTATTTTATATTTTATTGAAGGGGGGCATGAGGTTCAGTGACCTTAGTGGGTTGCATGATGGACCCCAAAAAGATATGTCCATGTCCTAATCCCTAGAACCTGTGACTATTACCTTATTTGGCAAAAGATGAGATTAAGCTAATGATATTGAGAGCAGGAGCTTATCCTAAATGGGTTCTACATGCATCACGCGTTGCCTTATAAGATACACACTCAAAGGAGAAGATGAATGAATAGAAGAGGCAACATGGCCAAGGAAGCAGAAATAGGAGTGATGTGTCCACAATGCCTGGAGCAAGAAAAGACAAGGAAAGGATTGAGCCTTTGGAGGTATTGTGGCCCAGTTGATGCTTGCTTTTAGCTTCTAGCTTCCAGAACTGTGACAGAATACATTGCTGTTGCTTTAAGCCACCCAGTTTGTGGTCATTTGTTAAGTAGCCTTAGGAATCTAATATAGTGACCTAAAGTAAATTCTAGAAAATGAAAAATTTGACATTTAACCTCAGCTCTAACTCCAAAGCCTTTTGCTACGAACTATCACATAGCAGCACTCTTCCAGACTTTATAATGCCTGGATGAAACGATTAGAATATGAAAGGATAGGGAGAGCACAGAGAAATAAAGATGCAGTCTCATGTCAGGGGGCTGAATCCTGGTTCCTCTATTTTCTGTACTTTTCTTCTTGAAGTCTCAGTGTCATAAACCAAATTAACAATGTTACAGTAAGGGTTGAGTACAATGCCATCTGTGTAAATTTCTTTGCAAATTGTAGAGCACTATTCAAATGCTAATTACTGGGGTTTTTTTTTCTTCCCCTAAGAGAGACTGAAGAGATGATGTTAGCGGTAACCTTTCCATCAATTTCTAACTATTTGTGCAGGTGCAATGGCACTGGTTGCCCACCTTTCTGCCATAGCAGAGAGCAAGGTGAGCACCCTGGTCTGCCCAGATACATGGTCCTAACATCACGTGCCTACAGGAGCAACACGAAGCCACCTGAACCTGTTGAGCAATTTCTATTTGAAAGAAAACCTCAGCAGCTACCATGCCAAAAACAAAATAGTTGTTTTTGGCAGGTAATTTTTTTCAGTATTCAGATGGACAATACTAAATAACTCTATTCAATAGACCAGTTCATTTTTACTTGTTTACTTACACCCTGCCTTGTTCCAGAAAGGATTTAAGGTGGATTACCTATTAATACCACAGAAGATAAAGTGAAAAATAAGTGGTGAGGAAAGTAGGACAACAGGAAAATGAGACTCAGAAAAATAAATAAAACAAGGAGCATATTAGACTATTGTGCTCTATAGAGTCTTTTCCCCTCACCAGGCTTGGCCACTGAGTGTGTCTCCAGGCTTTCTTACTGTGAATATAATAAAGAGCTCTAAGTCAAGGTCCCAACAACATCCCCTCTAGGAAGTTATTTGAGTCTGCCCAGAGCATCAGCTTTGGGAGATGAAGGCCTCAAAGATCTTGACACTGAGCATAATCACAGTCATTTTTAGCTTAGATTAAAAAAAAAAAGTCAGTAAAGCATCCATGAAATTTGTATCTTAGAGGAACATAATTTCCTGATGTACTGCCTAATAGAAATTAGCTATAAAATTCTTATTTGCAGAACTGTTGACTAACTATACAAGATGAGTAACTATAAATCATGTAAGCAAAAGGAAATGTCTACCAAAAGAAATGACTTTGGTTTCAGAACCATTCATCTGGAACGCACCCCCCCACCCTTTTTTTTGGCACCAATCAACTGGTCAAGCTTGATTAGTAGCCACTCTCTAATCTTAGTGTCTGCTTATTAGAGAATGTCTATTTTTCTATTCTCTAGAATCAGGGGAAATTCATCCAGTTTATAGCAAAGTGTCATTATATTATGAAGATTCAAATTAAAAGGAAAAGATCAGTCAGAGCATATGTCTCTGTTTTTACTCCACTGAAATCACTACTTGAAGATGAATTCAATTAACTTTTTGGAAGTGAATTGTGCAGCAAATTCATAGGGGCGAGACCTTCATGATGCTGCGGTGCTAAAATGAAAGTGTACAAGAGTGATATTTCCAGAACTGTCTCTCTTTGTTCTCTGGCCGTGGTTGGCAAACTTCTTCTGTAAAAGGCTAGATGGTAAAGATTTTAGGCTTTTGGAACCCTATGTCTCTGTTGTGACTATTCAACTCTGCCATTGTGCAAAAGCAGCCTTAACCATTCCATATGTTAGTGGGTGGAGCTAAGTTCCATTAAAACTATTTATAAAAACATAGGGCAGGAGATTGGCCCCCGAGCCATAGTTTGCTGACCCTCCTCTATGTGAACTGTGGGGTTTTAAGTCCTCATTTAACATTCTCACTGTATTCTAAACTAGTTTCCAAGAGAATACTTTGGTTTGACAGCCCATGTCCCTGAAAATGAAAGAACGGGCCCTCCTTTCAGGCAAGAAGACCTTAATTTTTGACATAAATTAGTGCTACCTACATACCAGTTTTCTAAAGCATGGAGCTTTCCATTCCATCAATAAGACAGGAAAACTATGTTCTCAGCTTCTAGTCTAGCCTCAGCCTCTATATATTAGCAGCCTATTCCCTTGACATGGTCTGGCTGAAACACAGATAAAGGAGATCCCTTAATGGGCACAATAATAATTCATTACTCTTGATTTTAAACATTTCAGCCTTGTACAAGCCAGGTTATAAAAATATTTTTATGTATACATTGTTATCTACCTTTTTTAGAAGTACCTTCACAGAATGACAGTTTGATATCAGTCCTTCATCTTTTATTAAGGACTAGTAGCCCGGTGCACAAAAATTTGTGCACTCGGGAGCGGGGGGATTCCTCAGTTATTAAACATTTATCGGCACAACACTGACCACATTGGTGGTGGTGGTGGTCTTGTCAGAATGTGTTATGTTATGCGGATGAAAATCTATTTAAACAGATTTGATGTAGATATTTTCAAAGATGGAAGAATTGTCCCTGTCAACTATTTTAGTTGATTCATATCTTCAGTAATTGTCATCATTGCAAAGTTTTCAATCCCTATATGGATTGCTGGATATAATAGGTCATGACTGTCCCTGTCCTTTGTAGCCTTTGTTACCTTAAGGACTCTAGTTTTCCATTTATATGTTTAAGTACCAACCTTACTGGCTTAAATATGTAAGCTTTTAACACTGCTCTCTCTGTTCCGTATCCTTCTGATGAAAAGTGGAGTTGGATTGCAGCACAGGAGAGAAATTCAGAAGGGGAATGTTGAAGTAATGACTGCAGTAGGAGAAGAGGGAACCTATTTCCCTGGCCACAAGTGCTGGCACCCTGGAACACAGGCCTGGCAGCTTGTCCGGGTGGCTGCAGTCTGGGACCTCAGGCAGGTGGCTTGTCCGTCTCCTGGGCTGCAGCCAGCCGCAGGCACAGGCGCCTGGACCAAAGGTGGGTGGCTTCTTCTTCTGGTGGCTTCTTCTTCTTCTGTGCTTCCAGGGAGGGCAGTCAGTTATGTGTATATGTGTGTGCATGCAAACATAGGCGTGTACATGTGTGTATGTGGAAATCTGCTGGGCAAGTCAAAATCATAGAAGAGTTGCCCCCTATCTCTTGAATCTTCCAGAGATATCCCCCACTTTTTTATTCTATCAC